TGACATAAGTTTGGAAATCACTGGTTTAATATATAATTTTATGATGTATATTTTAGTATTTTTCTGGGAATTGTGGTTAATTTAAACTAATCGTGTTTTCATTATCGCGACAGATTCTGGTTTTAATATGCAAGTGTAATTAGTTTTAAGATTATCGTATCTTTGAGTACCTTTAATTGGATTCATTTAATGTTCGCAACCAAAATAAATATAGATATAACCACAGTAGCGTGCAAAAGAAAGTTTATATAACTTTTATAGAACATTCGTGAATACGAAAACAGATTTGAGATTTTCATCATGGAAGATGAGCAAAATGTGTAACAAAAGTTAAAAGAAAAAAAATATTTTTCTATATTAGCTAGAACATATAAGAGTTACCTTGGTAATATATAAAAAAGTATACTGAAAAGTCGAATGAAAATGGATTAAAGATATTATCAAAGATAGAAAAAAAGTTTGCTTTTTGTTAATACGTTGAATGCTGTGCGATTTCATGTAGCAAGATACACAAAATGATAAAAATGTAGTTTAAACGAAATATACGAACAACTAAAACAGCACATTTTGAACATTCCGGAGGTGGCAACACGGCAGAGATAGCTAGATCAATTATCTTGTGTATGTAATTCGTAGAATTACAGTTACAATTGATGTGTTTTTCATTTGTAATTTTAATTGTTCTTGATTATTTTGTAAGAAAGTAACTGAAATTTGGTTAGAAATCAAATCCAGTATTCTAATTCTTTTAGTTTTCATTCAAATGCGTTTCAACGAAAATATGTGACCATCTCTCCCGGAATTACTCTCTAAACAAATTACGAAGAGAAGCTGTAAATAAAATGGATTTTCATCGTTTATAAGAACTAAGGAATACGTTAAAAAATCTGACATAGGCAGCAAAGCAAAGCAACATTCAGAAAAGTAAATAAAAATATAAGTAGATCAGTTATTAATGGAAGCATATAAATGTTACTCGTTAAAGTTGCTTTGTGTCTAACATAATATCACGAGCCACTACTTAAAATGCAGAAGAATTAATATTAAAGTACATGAGCCCAATACGTACTATACAGTTCCTGGCAGCATAGTTGGTCGGTTCGTTTGGTGAACGTTGAATAAAATCGATTCTTTTCACCGGGTTTCGCAATTAGGCCCGCACGGGACGCGCAGTTGTACAGATGTAGACTCGGCTTCACGTATTCGATAAAATACAAATGTCACCTCGAATTTATTCTTATTGTCTACATCAATGAACTTAAGAGAAACGCTTTCGATATTTTCCCTTGATTGCACCTTAGAAAATACGAGTTCTGGTCCTTTGGAAAAATTCCAGAAAAATACTCTGTCCGCTAAATTGCTCGAGAAGGTAAAATTTCTATTATCTGATTAGTTTGCTTGTGATATTGTATATGTACTGTATCCCTACGATGCACATTCTTATAATCACATTTTGACATTTGTCATGAGCGTGATCGCCAATTTCATTTGGAATCAATGTGAACTATTCGTTTAAATTCTTCTTCCCAACCTGCTTGTTTGTTTCTTTTCCATCGTAATCTTCCCACCGAAGCGCTCTATGTGACACGTCGAATACGTATATAAGAAGTTCAGTTTATCGGTCGACAATCATGTAACAATTATCGGTTGCAATTGTTTTCTAATCATACATACAGGGCCTTACCGACGTAAAGTTCTAGACACGCTATAAGTAAGATAAGACGATTCGCTGTTAGTAATAGCATGAACGTCTTCGTGTGCATTTCTGTACGTGCATCGATTAAGTATAGGATAGAGCTAACATACATATAATAGGATCGTATTTCCGAAAACCGAACCTTTTGTAATTACTTCCTCCGCTGACATCCGTTTAGTTACAGAATTTCTCGTTTTCTGTTCTCTAGAAACGTATCGTACGATTAATCTACGTAATATCGATTCGAAAATAATGTGATTCGGTTCGATATTGTTCGTGAACGAAAGAAATCGAAATCCAGAGACACACTAGACCTATCGTATTCTCAATCAACATGGTGTGTACAAGCAGTGTCTTATGTACCTTCTCCGAGATCTAGGTCTAAGATTTGGTTGATATTGAAAATAACTAGATAACGCAATTTCCCCGTTCCTTTTGTCTTTTTTTATACTTATTTCAGTAACTTCAAAGACATGCGGTAGTGATCGAGTTGATACGAGGCAAGCGTCGACGTTTGCCTCAGTCTATACGTTAAATCTTATGTTCTAATTGTAAGTGTAGGCGCTGCTAAAAATTGGAGAAATCGCAACACTTGTTTTGCTTGCGCTTGTTTCCCTCTCGTACCGACTCTCTTTATCATTGTCCAGTACTTTTCAATTAGTTACGGATGCATCGCGTGATTTTTATTCGAATATGTCGACGTCACAACATTCCAAGTACCTAAATACTCAGAAGAACGCGTAAGGCTGACACTACGTCTTAAAAAGATGCTTCAGTTCTATGTGTACAATTGGGAGATGACTTGATGTCTAGTGAAACAAACCTAGTTTACAGGTTTATAGTTTTGATTGGTTATATGTAACCGTATTGATGAATAGCAAATGAGTGTACGAAAATATCAGGAATTAGGAAATAAACCAACATAAAATTGGACAAATCAAAACTGATGAATCAGCTGAATTCCTCAGCCTAGCCATCAAGTAACCTCCTAGCAGTAGTATAAGGGGAATATGTCTTCTTCTTCCGAAACTTTCTTTTTTATGTACCTATGAACTATACCTTTCGCTCCAATTACATGACCCATTCCTGATTTTTTCATTTTACAATTGTAAAAAGGCAACAGATGTTTTTCTGAGAAATGATTAAAGAAATTGGTTTAGCAATACGTCAACTGAGTTATAAATCAATTAAAGTCTCAATAGATGTACTCTTGAAGTTCCTATACAGGAATTTTAAAAAGTCAATTTAACTGTTTGTTAGTTTTAGGATTAAATTTAGTGATTTGGTTTGTTTCTAATTATTGATTTTTATTTTCGTTATTACCTGCTTCGAAATAGAACAATGGAACGCGCACTGGTTCGAATTTTTGTTATGTAAAAATCGAAAAGCGTAATTCACTTTCTCAGCTGAAATGAAAGGAGAACGATCATTTGGCACTTTTCGACCGTGTTTTCGTAAAGAAACGGTTGAGAAATATCGAAAGAAGCCAGCTGTATTCCCCGATGTACCCCGTAATCATAAGATGTACACAACGAAAAGGAAAATTTAACCAATCTTCTCTAGGATGACTGAACGTACCCATTAAACATTTTCCTCGTTTCTGTTGCTCGTATCTTTTCGAACGCACTACACAGACTTGAACTTTTCGATGCACCGTTGAATTTGTTCCGTTTTGCTAAGTAAACGCATCATATTTACAGTTACGATCAGAAGTAGGCAGTGATGGAAATGATTAAATATATTTTGAGGATCGTCGTCGTTCGTTGCGGATGCTTTGGTCCAGTCATCGCACAACGTTGTTAACCACAATAAAATACGGTACCGTGAGAGTCCCTAATCAATGATCGGATGAATGGAAAATTAAGTAAAATCATCCTGTCACTCTTTTTTTCTTGTCGTTCGTTTCTCTTCGCCTTTATCGATGTCTCTCTCTCTTTCTCTCTTTATCTTCATCGATGTCTCTCTCTCTCTCTCTCTCTCTCTCTTTCTCTCTCTGTCTCTCTCTTTCTCTCTCTTACTCTTTAGCAGCACACAGTCTTTATAAGCTAGTATCTTACCATGATTAATAACTCACTTACCTGTCACAAAAATAAATACTTCTATTATGTCACTTAAATCTACTCGCTTACACGCTAGAAACAATAAGTCCGGCCTAGCATGACCAGCTGCTCTAGCGGGATTTACGATATACTTTCTACGACTCGCGCTAATTTCTTCTCGCCTATACTCGCTGTTTATTTGTTTTCTAATATTTGTCACACGTTTAAGTTAACACTTTACCCACCGTACGTTACTGACCGTAATTTACAAGCTAATACTGATACCATCATTTGTTATGATACTTCACGTAATGAAACGTTTAGATAATTTGTTCATTCTCGAATAAAACCTGGGTTTCTATTTTGATTCAAGTATAAGAGTAATCTGACTGTTCAGCATTTAATGCCGATTGTCGTTTATTTATGTTAGTGGCTTTTAATCTATTTTTCACTCGTCTACCAATATATTTTCTTCTATGATATTAATAATTGTATTAAAATAACTGGATTGACAGCAATGATGCAGTAAGATGAACAAAGTATATACGTTTACATTGAGAACTCAAAATATAAAGCGAGCTCAAGTTAATATATGCCCTGGGTGCGTTTGAAGAACACGTCAAGTAGGTAGAGGGTATGTTTCTATGAAAAAATAAGAAAAAGATATAAAATAAAATTTGTTTGTCCCATATTTAATTTTCGAGAAAATTGAATTTGAACATTATTTTGTATTCTTTTGTAAGGAACAAAGAAAAAACAAATAAGTTTCATTCCTCAATTATTTAATAAATGAATCGATAACCCGTAACAAGACATATTTCTCACAAATTTATCTTTTACTACTAAACATTTTTTTTGTGTATGTTATTCTATATTCTCGATTTTTTATTGCATGATGACTTATCTGGATGTACCATTCAATCCTGGATTCTTTTATGTATAAACAACAGCGATCTACGAATCTAGATAATTGAATTCAGGCGTCATTACTGTCATGGAAATATATAGAAAGAATATTTTCATTTTGTTATTAGAGATCTGGCACAAAGTATTTATGTTATTTTTAAAACAAAAATTTAAAGTAGGAATATTGTTTAATGATTTTCATAGGAAATTTTTATAAGATTTTTATGAAAAAATTTTCATAAAATTTTCTCAAGATTTTCATGAGACTCTCATAAAAAAATATGATCAAGTGTGCCAATACTTATTAGAGAAATTATCTACTTCATTGATAACAGCCTGATATTTTAATAGAACGTAATATATTCATTCTTGTTTGAAGGAGTTCATAGTTAATATTTCAAAAATTGTACTCTAAAAATAAAATATTATTTTCTCTAAAAAGATAACTTTTTACACATTTTCACAGCATTCATGATGAAATTAAGTATACACAATTTTGTGAAAAGGGAATTTTACATTTTAAATTTGTTTGTTGCTTTTGATGGTCCAGAAAAAATTTTTATAACTGAAATCTCGTATTCTGAAAGAGTAATTTGGACGTTATAAAGCATATTACAAATATAGAAGAAAATCAAATTTGATAATGAAATTTAGCAGAAAAAGTAGGTCGAGGATTAATTTTGAATTAATGAAGGACAAGATTAAATTTTTTGTGGTCTCATTGATTTACTTAGTGAAACAATAGTATTATGATTGCATTTCTTTACCAATACATAAATATAGATTCAGTGACAAAATTATAAACTAAATGAAAAAGACCCATTCAAAAATTTGTATTTTACACGCATCGAAATTGTAAAGATGCTTTTGTGAGAGATTATGAAATAAATTCCTGAATATTTGTACAGATACAATGATAAGAGATGTTTCAAATCTTAAGAAATGTATCCTCCTAATTATTAGAAAAAAAAATCATTAATAAGTCACTCCAATTGTTCAGTAGTTCCAGTATTAAAGTGTGTTTCATTGTTTCAAACTGAATACTCTAAGTAATCAGGTCTTTGAAGTGAACACCACAGGAAATTGTATCATTGAAAAAGTTAAGCACAAATAACAATGATTGGATTTATCGTTTCACCTATGTTATAAACGGCTGGTAAAGTGTTATACGCCCCCGATTTATGTGTTATTATCGTTACAAAGTTCTAAATAAATTAATACTACCCGTTTTAACCAGCAACGACGGCTCAAAAGAGCTGGTTGCGTCGAATACGTGACCTATCTCCGCTCGCTAACGTCTCGTTGTGCAACTGAAAGTGCATTAATGCCAGTTTACGACAACTACGAAATCACTGAATCATGTCTGGAGCTGCGTTCTTTCTCGCAATCGTAGATACACGCGTGGAGCGAATTAAATTCGGTTTGCCAGCTTATACGTGACGCGAGCAAACGGGGTGCGATGCGAATGCGTGTGTACCTACAGTTGGGAGATAACTTGATGTCTATAGTATAGGGGCAAGAAGTCTTTTTCTAGTTTACAGTTTTACAAATTTGATTGATTACGTGTAATCGATATAATAAATTAGTGACTGAAAATAATATCAATCAGGGAAAACAAAAGACTGAGTGAGAAAACATGAAAATTAATCAATCAGTCGCATTCCTTATCTTAGCCATCAAAAGATCTCCCAATAGTAGAGTGATGCTCGCTTAAATTCCACAGAAATTTACTCGGCTTAATTCCATTGCACCATCCCCACTCTATGTAATCCCAGTAAACAGGGACAGAAAATGAATACAATCAGGGGAACGGAGACGGATACAGGTTAAAGAGATGTATAAATATGCACTTGCAATAATTATAACTTTACCTTCTTAATCGTAGTACCGATGGGATGTTGAGATGCTTCTCATTAAAATGAATCCAAACACGATGTAGATCGGTTTAGTTTTATCGATTTGATGTAAATGAACTCTTAATTTCGTTAATTACATTAAGTTGGTAAAACTAGTTCGATATCTGCCGTATTTGGACTCATTTTAAACAGAACAATTTCAAAAATTCACTGACACTGCATTTGAGAAGATAAGGTTGAAATTACTATAATTGAAATTTTCTTCATTGCATGTTTATATTTGACTCGTGTGGCATCGCTTTGAAGTCCCGCGTCTCGACCCTCGATACTTGATGGTCTGTGTCTATCCCGCTTCCGCTCACTATATTGGTTCTCTGTCTTTGTCAGGCTGTGCGCGAGTCAATGCCTGGAAGCAGATAGCTTTCTCCTTTTTTTTCTACTTCGTTAAATTCGACTGTTGGGACCCGAAATTGTGAAATTTAAGCGAGCATTACTGCACATGCACATGCGTTTTTTCGCCGGTGATGGCATTGGAAAACAAAGGAGAGGGAAAAGTTACTTCGTTAATCGTGAGCAAAATGAACCGTGTATACCGTTTTGACCGTGTCTCAATGCGATGTCCACGTTCAGCACTCGTAAGCTTCGTAAAAAATTACGATCATCGTAAAAAATTGAACTACGTCATCATTGTTACGGAAGCATTTGAGAATCTAAGTTTCGATATCGTGTTTCTTAGTATAAAAAAAGAGATCGACGTGATAAACCGTTTTTCTCGAGACGTTGTTTCCCTTTAAGCCAGACGGAACGAAGAGAATGAAGAATTGCAGAAAGCGAACCTCAATTATTAGACCTGCACACGATCACTGTATTCAGGTATATCCGTGTTTTTTGTTTCTCCCGTAGAACGACGCAAACAATGTCGCGTACAGTGTACATCGAGTGTCCAATTTGGAATACCTTCCGGTATGACGAAAATACTAACCAGCTATTTCACAAAAAATGGTCGTTCCTCTCTTTCCTCCTTCTCCTAAGACGCACCGTGGTAACACGAACATCAATCTGGTTCTCTTACATTAAACACCGACCTCCACTCGTGTTCAAGTGAATACTCGTTAATTTCATTGTCATTTAGGAATGGCGTCACCTCTATTAGCAGCTTCGTCCTAACTTTACACGTTCATTCATCGTTTGTAGCGCGCGTTCCTTAAAAACGAACTACTGGGAACAGTCCATAACAAGTTTCACTCTTTAACTACTAACAATCACGAAATATCGTTTTTCTTGGCTTTTTTTCGAATTTTTCTCTATTTTCTTTTTTTTCTTTTTCTCTTAATCCATTTCATCTAAACCTCCCGCCTCTAGTGACACGCACATCGATATACTACAGCTAGAAATTTTTCGGAAATGGGTAACTTCGATTCTCACGATTCTCATTTCATGCGACCTTCGGTTCAGAAGAGATCGGTTTCGTCGTTTGACCTAAAATCGCCTCGATAAAAGCGATACGCTGACGAGATACTTTCTTTTCTCGGTTTCCTCGTGTTGGATGCTTTAACGTGGCCGGGCGCCACAGTTTCAACAAGTTACGGGAAAAATATCTAGGTCGTTTTCTTTCGAGACGCCTCGGTCGCGGAAGTTCGCGCGCGCCGAGACTCGTCTTCCCTATCGCTAGGGACCTCCCTGAAACACCTTCGAGGAAATTCTCTCGCTACCTACTCCGAGAAGCGAGTGTACAACGTTGAGCGATTTATTCTCAAACCGACAAATCTCTTCAGGTCCATGGAGTGTATCGTGGTCGTGCCGAGTGTCAGAAGGCCGTATCCAGAGCTGCCATACTAGTCGAGATATCCGGGTCCGCTCGACAAGCTTCTAAAAATTCAGCCAGCGTCACCACTCCGTCCTTGTTCCCGTCCATTTTCTGGAAAAGTGAAATATTCTATTGATAGAGCGAAGTTATTTGCAAAATAAACTTCATTTCAACGCGTTGCGGATGGATCACGAGAATTCTAGTGTTGTATGTTTTAGAGCTTGTAGCCAATCACGAGAATTATTGACTTTTCATTGTTGTCGTTTATCCGTTCAATAGAAACATACCTGGCCACAGGGTAAAGTTAGCAATAAAACTATAGGTTTGCAATGTGTCGATGAACATGTTATTTTTTGTTAATTCAGTTAACAAACAAAGATGGTCCATATAATACGTTAGTACTTACCTTAATTTCTTACCTATTATAATATTATATATTCTTACATATTATAATATTAATATAAAAATATTCGTATTAATATTTTGTGAATGTATTCATTTAATAGGAAAATCAATATTTTTTTAAATAACAATAATAAGGATCTTTCTTTCGGTATTACCGATGATGGCAGAAACTAGTAATTTTTCAGTCCCTAATTGTAAATGCGGTAAAATATATCAGTTACTGTACATGACATTCGTATAATGCTTAACAACGTCCGTAACAGATAACAGTATTCAATTGACGTCAAATGACGTCACCTATAGATAAGATGTTAATACAGTAACAAATTAACAAACTTCAACGAAAAATTCGTAACTGGAATGGAAATTTATTTTTAACAAGGTTTGCAGTCATGTTATATTAGTGTTAATAAATAGGCTTTTTTTATTTATCCACGGTTACGTTCTGTTGTGTGTTTTGAATATTGTTAACATATTTATTAGAATATTATATTATTTGGTTGAATCGTTTAAAGGGAACATTCCCATTCGAAGTTGGTCGATTTTAGTGGAGAGCTTACGAAATAAAGAATTGTTAGATTATTATAAATCGAAGACTTCACAATTTTGTATACGTTTTTGATAATCTTTTAAGATGATGCGCTGTAACTTTTATGTAATTTTCTTTATTATTTGCTACATTTTTTTCTTAAGATTATTATTTTCTAAAGGTTATCCTTTACAACAGTTGTAGAAGACAGTATACAGAAAGCAGAATATTATAATGAACAAAATAATCTACTGTGTGTCCCATTTAATTAAGGAAAATGAAATCGATAACTACTGTGTGGTTTCAGAGAGAACAGTTTGCAATTCTTTATTAGGTTTACATATATTAGATCTAGATATAATATTAGTCATTCTTGTAAATACTATGTAGTTATCACGTTAACGTTTAAAAGAAAGTATAGAGGTGACCAAATTGTCGATATGTTATCAATTTATTCCGAATTATTTGATAACGTAACTGTTGTGTTCCTGTTTTCTGTTAAATCAATATGAGATAAACGTTGCAAATAAAAGTTTAATTCATATTATAGTTACATTAAGCTGTTAATTATGGAATTTACTCTAAAAAATCTTCTCTTTGATTGTAAAAAATATAAAAATGAAGTATGTACTCGTCAAATGCAGGACGAATAGGTATATTTTAATAAAAAACCAAAGCAAAACAAAGAAGAATTACATGTTTATTTGAAAAAATAAAGAATTCATTGTTGAAAGAATTAATATCATTTCAAACTTTAAGATGACGTGTATACTCATTAAACGCAGTTAACTGGTTAAATATATTTGAAAAATGTTTATGAAACTATAGAAGGTTGATTTCATGATTTGTAAGAACACTGCTAACGTGAAGATAGACAACTATTCACATAACTCTAAACTTTTAACTAAAAGTATAGTGCTGTCCTGAATTATAATTAATAGAAAAGTTAATACAAAAATATTTCGTAAACGTTATACTTTAACTTTGCTACCTATTTTTATTTATTTAAATGAAGATTACTAAAATTTATTGTTTGTTTGATGCTTTTGAATCCTTTATATCTTTAGCTGTTAAATTGCATATAATTTTTTAATTTCGACAACTGAACATTGAACTTGTAAATGATTAGTAAAATTTTAATAATCAAAACAGAAAGTGTGGATAAAATAAATACTTTTATAAAAAAATTCATGTATGTAAAACAGATATGAATCACAATTTATATTTTGCTTCATTTATATTTATGATTAGTAGATATTATGATGACTTTATAAATATTTCATGAATGAAACCAAAAATTGAAATGTATATTTATCCGATCGCAAAAGTTTTATAAATGAATAATGGTTTTAAAACATTACAAACATATTACCTTTTATTCGTAGAATATGATTTTTTCATAGAAAATGTACACTCTTTTCGATTGTATCATTTTAGTTGAAGTAGAGAAATTGAGTGAAACTGCCAGAGCAAAGACGAAAGAAATTGAAACCAAAAGACGAGAAGCTTCCAAAAGAATCCTTGTCTCTTGAAAGAAATTTACGTAGAAATGTCAACGTTCTTGGGAAGAAGACAGTACAGTTCACTCTCTTGGACATTGCTGAACCCAAGAGTAATGGATGTCGACAAAATAGTCTCTTGAGAAACCTTTACGCAGGTTGTGTGAATCAAATGTGAAAAAAGTGTTGTGCGAAATATTTAAATGGCAATTAAAATTGTCATTTTAATCCAGTATAAATTCTGGGAGAAGTAGCGCCTCGATGCACTGTTTAATTTGAACAAACTAATTTTTGCTTGTACGAGGGCTAGAACGTAAACGACAACTATATAATGTAGAAATATTATGCGTATAACAAATACGAGCGTGTAAATATTATATACGTTATTAAATAATCTCATAATTTTTTTTTCTCTTTTATGTTGTAATTTTTTGTATTTGGAGTGCTAGTGTAGAAAGTTAGTACGTAAAGTAAAAAATATGACAGTATAAGCGATAAATACCTATATTAGTACAAATAAAAAATATAATTTTGTGTGCAGTATTTATTATTTTTACTAATTATCAATTTATTCCTGATGAAGAAATAAGAGTAAAACAAATTCGTTGAATATTATTGCACATTGTACGTACCTACATACAATTACGTATGAGTGAAAATGCTCGACCCTGTTTTTAAGTACCATACGAACCAAGTATTGACTATATTGTTATGAAGGGTTCTCAAAGGTTTCGCAAACGCTTTTCAGAAACAATGGAACCGATTTTATCGCAACTTTCGCTCTACTCGGCATGAAGGACCTCTAATTAAAAAAAATGATTGATGCAACTCATGCCAATTATATTTGTTTTCCTTTTGCTTAATTAGAATCTATTGATTTCTTTCGTTTTGTTTCATAATTACTGGATATACATCGATACTTAGGAGACGATAAGATTGATGGAATATACACGATACTGTACTTGTAAACAGCATTTGTTTATTACAAATAGAAAGAACTAACCATTTTTTAACCTTTTATGTTCAACGATTATTCTGTAATTCAAAGTATTGAATAACAATTGTTACTTAAGGTTTTAAACTCTGAAGTTCTAGAAGTTCTAAAGAAATTTTAGAAACTCTTTCGAAAGACGTGTATACCTATATTACATCACAGTCACGTTTGTACAATGAAAATATTTTGCTTTATGAAATTATACAATGCTATTTGTTATAAAGTATCTATATATATGTATATACCTATGCAGCTATGTAATCTGAAATAATAATAGAAACTGTATTTAATGGTATTATCAACATATTGAATTGATGAATATTTAGGAAGAATATAAATATTTTTATCTCATAATACTTCATTGATTATTATTGTCATGTTTAACACGGTGACCATTGTGTGAATTATGTGTACTATTTGTAATACGATATTTTTTCCCAATTTAAACATGACTCTTTTTATGTAGTGGATTAAGGTATCTAAACGGTATTTCGTTGGAATTTATGAAATGGAAGGAAATCGAAGAACTAATGAATATGAGAAATTTTAACTAGTTAAATAACCGATTTTAAAATTTGATTTAAAATTCTTCGTGTTTTTTCATTTAACTTTATATCAACTCCTACATTGACCGATTAATCAGTTTTTCAATTTTTGCTATATATTACGTGCCTTGTGTATTTTTGCCGTTCTTGTTTTTTTTTACACCTATCTATTGCCCTTTTCAAACTGTTGGAGTTACAATTACTGCGATGAGGAAATAAGAGTATCATTTTACGGTTTTTATCTCAGGAACAATGGACCAAGAATGCTAGTAAAAGGTCGTTTCGGTCTTAGAAAAGCCGTTACCTACTCTTGCAACATCTTTTTTACACATCTTGCATGTTTGCCTTATAATCGATTGATCTACTACTGTTTGTAAACTGACATAAATTATACTTATTTCAAAGTTACTTTGTTTAGACATTCATAATATTATTTATTATAATTGATCAATTTATAATTGAATATCTTATCATACTTTATGGTATCTAGATTTGATAAAACCAAGATTAGTAAAAAACGGTCTGATATGTGTAAAGAACTCTTTCCAATATTTTTTTCTAGAATTAAAATTAAACATTACCATAATGTTAAAGAGACGATATTAAATTTGTTATCAAAAGGAAACTCTTTTACAGGCAGAGAAAATGTTTCGCATCAAATATGTCCATAAAATATTAACAAAAAGAAAAACTATAAAGATGGAAATTTTGTACGTTAGAAAACATGCTAAAAAATATAAATATCTGCTTCAAATTTGTCATGTCTTAGAAATTCCTGAATTATTTTGTTTGTTAATTAAAACATTTTTTACTTAAAATAGTATTTTCCTTCAATTAATGTGAATTAAGTGATTCGGTTTTATTATATTTACTGTTCAATTATTAAAATTTTTGTCGCAAATCTAACTTATTATAATATTATAAAGTAATGGGTTGAAGTAGTGTTTATAGGAAAGTCCAAAAAATATTATCAACTTGTTAGATGGTGATACAAAAACGAGAAAATCTTGCTTTTAAGTTATTGCGTTACGAAATAATACGTCTCTCAGGGTTGCAAAATTCAAGACAGCTGCCGTGGAGTGAGTTAAATTGAACTGTCAGCCGCCAAACTAATTTTAAGTGATTGATTCAAATAGAGA